CTGATAACTTCTACGCAGAAGTATCAGCATCAAACGTTATTGCTCGACTTTCCAACAACCGCATGTGGTGCATTGATTTTTGACCAACTTCAACGGTACATGGTATTTGACTGCTGCATGCGAAGATAAGTGGAGTGATGTGTTCAACATTGAAATAAACAAACCGAGTTTGGCATCACTATTCGCGGGATTTTGATTCCAGTGAGTAAGCGCCCACTGGATGGCAACGATGTCCTGAACGGTTTTCGGTCTCAATCGCACACAATCCGTGTCGTGTAACGGAAACGCACCACCTACTTGGAACTGCAAACACTTGCTAAATTTTCATTTTCTTTCATCAGAATATTCACGTTATGATGCACATGCACATGCACATTTTCATGTTTTCGTTTCATTCGATTTCAAACGCTTCTCAGAGGGCAGCAGCTGTTTGAAAGCAGTAATGCTGCTGGCCCAAAGTAGATTGCAAGTCTGAAAATCCCAAAAGTTATTCAACGATGAACGGATGACTCTATTTTGCAAATGAATGTGTCACCTTATTGTTGTCAGGCTGAACCTTGAAAGGATCATAAACAGCGCATAAAGCATTTCGAGATGTCGATTGACATTTTGTCACGAATATATTCAAGAAGATAGCGACAATAAATGGGAGTTCTTTCATTGATCTCAATTAGATATTATATAATGACAGTCAATCTCTCTTCATTCGCGGTTGGTTACATTCACCTGTAATTATACAAGCGTCACTTTATTACCACAATGCCCTCACTCACAAGAAGTTACGACGATTTATTGCTGGTGATTATTCATCCGAAAAAAAAAGCGAAAACATCATCATGAAACATTTACAATGGACTGCTCGACAATAAACCTTCAAAAAAGATGAAGTCATAAAGAATACGCAAGACAACACGATGAATTGAAGGTGCCGAGATATCAACGAACTCGTGCACTGAAAATTCTGACATCCTCATAAACCTTCAAGCTTTTGCTCATCGATATCTCATAGGCCTTACATTTCACATACTGATCACTTTTCATACAACATATGACTTGATCAGTAAAACGCTTTATTGGATCGGTGAGCGTAGATTAGGTTGAAATGAGTGAAGTTATAAAATAATTTCCGAGACGATAAAACTGAAGTGAATAGCAGTCAGTAGTCGAAATGACAGTTGAATCAGGGAGGATAATTCTGTTGGCGTGTATGTGCGGATATTGAATGTACGCACATGAGTTATGAAATAACCTCGTGCTGTTGTATAAAAGAGTGGAAACTTGTCGAATTAATCCCCGCATTCAATTTATATGGCCCTTTCAAATCTCTAATCTCCATTCAACAATGTACACTTTTACCTCTAAAAATCCATGCAAACGGGAACTTCGAAACACATCCTTAATACGATCACATGATTTTGTTGCATTCTGTTGAAGAAATGTGGAAAATCTTCACCGAAATTTCGTTAATTTTGATTAACTGATTAATTACACAAGACATTTTGTTGGTGAATATGTGTGTGTTGTTTAAACGGATAAGAAAACCAGTATCCTAGCAACAACAAAAAATGACATCAATGTTCTTCAGAAACGAAGTTGATTAACTGTAAGATGAGATATGAAATATGAGAAGATAGGATATGACAACAATATGATTATTAATTGTAAGATATGGGAACATATAATCGTTAATATATGAGAAGATATGATAATTAATGAAATTTTTATCACCCAAAAGCATTTCTAAAAACATCTGTTAGTTTAGTGAACATTTCAAAACGACTTGAATAATGTTCAACGAAAGGGACCACTGTAAATAGCTATCACGTGCAAGATGAAGGATAATAAGCCACTGGAAATACTTCTTTAGAATTCATAAAGTAAGGTTGAAGATGAAGATCTCAGATCGGGCTGGCTATAGGTCATGAAAGATATCATAGCAGAATGTTATGCGGTCACTGCAATGAAGCAGTCGTTAAACGTGTTGTTATCGAATGGTAATAAAACGATAAAATGAATAAATGATTGAATAAAGTGGTACAGCATTGAGAAACTTCAAAACGATGCCGGCCAGCGATGTCTGACACAAATTTCACTAACAATAAGATATTATAGAAGAATACTTGAGGCCAGTTACCAGATCGCATATACATACGTTATCTAAATTATTGATATCATATTGACGTTAAATGATGATAATACATTATTGTTATCTCCTACAGAAGGTACTTTACATTGTCAGTAGCGATAGAATTCGCATTTATCGTGCAGAAATAGCACACCAACTTTATTGAGGAGGCAACTTCGAAGCGATATTTTCTCAATGATATGAATTTCTTCGTTTTCATCTAACTTTCTTCTATTATCTAGCTTCTATCGCACTTCTAACGGTAAGAGAGCCTAACGTTGTGATAAATGAGAATGAAATAATTCATCCATCTTACAATCCACTACGTGAACGACCAGCTGAAAGCATCAACAGATCAATGGCAATTCAATCGAAAACTGAACTTCGAAGTGACTCTTCAATTGATTAAAAATTCTCTCAGAAAACACGTAGATGTTTTTAACGGATCACTCATTGAGAGCTTCACTCAGTTTCGATAGCAACAAACCGTCTGATTGAATTTCAGTTTGTTTTCTGTCTTGTGAAAACAATTGCTTGTGTAAATACATAAAACCTAGCTGATATTGTGTGTAAATTTAGTGGACGTTCAATATGCGATTGGTCATAATGAATTATTTTCTCACTGAATAGTATTATTTATAGACAATGAAGATCTATTCAAGATCTTTTTATAAAATCTAGCAGCTGGAAAATATCTCATCTATTATTCGAAGAAAT